ACTTGCATTTTAGATCATTTATTTCTGACGTACATATGCACTCACACATGCTAAGTTATCAACTGTGATTTGAACGCTGCTCTTTATGATTAAAGTTGTTGACTAAATTAAATTGTTTAAGCGGATTGAAGCTTCCGTTTGAGATTTCTGTGCTGGTATTTAGGGAACAAATGCATGCATCCAACTAGACCTTCAGCAAAAATGGAAAGAGCATAATTGGATGTGAGCATTTGTTTTGGCTGTAGTGATTTTTAAACATGTGTTTCCCTATGAATCAGGTTATTGAAAGTGGTGGAAAAGACATAGAAGTTGCTGTGATGACAAAAGAGCATGGGCTTAATCAACTTGAGGAAGCTGAAATTGATGCCATTGTTGCTGAGATCGAAACAGAGAAAGCTGCTGCTGAAGCAGCACAAAAAGGCCCCGCCGAAAGAAACCTAGTTCTGCTGAAATTCATTCTTAACTATCCCTGAATCCTTTCTTTTTTTGGATCAAGTTAAGTGCAGTGTTCCTTGAATTTTAAGATTTTGGTACCTATGTTAAAATTGTTTTATGAGACTAAAGAAGTCATGCTCCTGCGATCTCTGCCCTATTTGTGTGTTGCTTGATATTTTAAAGATAATACATTTTGTTGAAACCTATTATATTTAGTATCTTTGTGTGTGTGTAGGAGCAAATAGATGATTTATCTAGGTGAATTGATGAAAATTATTGTTGAAACCCTGTAAATCTAATTGCCAGTAGGCAGTAGTGGTGCCTTGATAATAGCTAATAAATGATTTTCGCAGGTATAATTTTATATCTTTGTATGTATTCATGTTTTCTTTCCTTGAGAATATTTGTTGTATGAAAGTGGTAGAGAGCACGTTGTTCTAATCCCATATAGTGAGAAAATTTGTTCCACATTTGTGAAATAGTGGGTTGGGTAGAAAAATTAGAAGCTATGGCAATTGCAGAAATTAAGGAAGACGGGAGGGAGTGTGTACAATTTATGCTGGATCTCAACAGAAAAGCTTTCTTTCTTTAGCCATTTCTAATTTTAAATTCATGTTTAGCATCGCGCTACAGGTTTTATACGTGAGCTGAAAAGGCATAAATATGAGCCAACTAGCACCACACTACTGTCTAGTGAAGCCTTTACTTTAGACATCTAAAAATTTAAGGTCTCAATTTTCAAAATTTATTGTTATTTAATAATTTAGTTTTCGATTAGATGATATTTTAGGTTGTAGAAAAAAAAAAGTAAAAAATATTGCATATTGTTATAATAAAAATATATAAGAATAACTATCACATTTTCATATTAGTAAATAAAATTTTATACAACAAATCAAGCAAATTGTATCGCAAGTACATGGTTAACATCTTATTAACTTGAATCAATATCAATAATATTAACATGTTAAATTGAAATTGTATATTTTTTTTAAGGATAATATTAGGGGTGTACATGACCGGGTTGGTTCGGATTTTTCAAATATCAAACCAAATCATTTGTGCAAAATTTTTAAATTTATAAACCAAATCAAACTAATAAAATTAGGATTTTTACGGGTTTTTCAACCTCGGGTTGGTTCGGGTTTTTCAAATACCAAACCAAACCATTGTATCGAATTTATAAATCAAACCAAACTAATAAACCTCAGATTTTTGGATTTTTTCGGTAAAGTTTGCATACAAACATATAATTAACTTGTGCTCCAAATATTTCTTTAGTCCAACCAAAATACAATTATCTAAGGTGTTTCTTAAGAAAATAACACAAAAATATGAGATGAGTATTGATGACACTAAAATATTCAATAAAAAAATATAATGAAATCTTCATATAAAATAAATATTGCAAAAGTCATAATGAAAATGATCGTAATTTAAAAGTATTAAATCATGCTAAAATAAGTTTAATAAGTATGACATCACTAAATATTTAAGGAAAAATAAAATTAGATTATGTATTTTAATTGTCTAAACCAATGTAAAACTAAAGAACAAATATTCAATATTATTGTCATTCTTGTGTTGAATTGATTTTCTTTTTGCATTAATATTAATTTGATTTGATCTAAGTTTTATTATAATTATCAACATCTATGAACTATAATCTTTATTGGACCATTCTGAATTCTAAGTTTTTAAACTTGAAATAATATATTAAAAGATAAAAACTAATGAAATAGTATAAGAAATATTTTAAAATTATATCAAAGTAAATATTTTTATGTATAAAATAAAATTTTAAAATTACATATATAATGTCGGGTTGGTTTGGTCTCGAGTTGTTTTTTTTTAGTTAAAACCAACCAACCCAAATATAGTCGGGTTTTCTTTTCCAATACCAAACCAAGTCAAACCAAACCACTAGTCGGGTTTTTTTTCCAATTTGACTCGATTTGCGGCTCGATTCGGTTTTGTACACCCCTAGATAATATGTTATAAACAAGTACGAAAAACAAATTGATATAAGTTTTTTATTAGAATTTGACTTTAAGTCACTAATTTTACCGATTCATCCCGGAGAATATAGTAAATAAGGGCAAAGCTAGAAAATACTTACATATTAAGTCAGACCTAATCAGTTTATTCTAAATCATACATTTGTGTTATGAAATTCACCAAATAATTAACTCAGTGATTACAAAAATAGAAACAACTATAATGCAATGTAGATCTTTTTGCTCTCGTTGTAACAAATTAAGCCATACAATCTGTTTTCGTATCGTAGAGGTAAGGTTTGACTATAGAACCTCTTTTTGCTCTCGTTATAACAAATTAATCTGTTTTTGTATACTGCCCTCAGGTTCTCTCACCTGTAGTTTTGCTGGAAAAAAAAGAAAGAAAAACAACATATTCCTAAACAATGAGACTAACATGAAGTATGTGTAAATAAAAAACACCACAAGTATATTGAAATAGAGGGAGTATAATTTTTTTTTTTCATTTTCCTTAAAAAATAGATATGCAGTTGAGACACATTCCTAACAAAAAAAATCTTAAACAACATAACCCTGATTTGTGTCACTAGATTTTTCCCAAGAAGTCAATCATGTAACATCACTATAATATTTCCAATAAACATAATACAAATTAAGATCGTAGAAACATGAGCTAATTAAGTACATACGAAATACAAGGCACGGTGTGATTAAAAACCTACACCAATTACAACAACAATAACATAGACAATATGATTCCATAAATGAGATCTAAGAGGATAATATGTTATCCCTATTTTATGGTGATAGAAAAATTATTTATGATAAACCCTCGGTTCATCAATCGGATTTCTTACCAAATGCTTGAAGTTGATCACCATACAATGTATAAAGCCTATAATCAGGAATATAATGAGCTCCCATTTTCTCATAGAAATTAATAGTTTCTTCATTCCAATTAGCCACAAGCCAATCAACCATCCCCATTCCCATTTTCTCAGCTTGCATTGCAACAGCAGAAAACAACAATTTCCCAAACTTCATCCCTCTATAACACTTCCTCACAAACATTTGGTCTAAAAACAATCCAGGTTTCTCAAATAAACCATTATAGCTAGGATAAACAAGTACATGCCCCGCTACATAAACGTCACAATTATTACTATTATCATGACCATGACCATTAAATTTGGACCTGTAGGTCTCGAGTTCGTGGTCCAGGATTTCTAAATTATCAAAATTGTAATTGTTCTTGATAATAGGGACGAAATTCGTAGTAGTAGTATGGTTTGTTTGAGGGAAAGGGTTGGGAGATATTTCTAAGATGAGGGCTGTTGGAGAATGAAAAGGTGGATTTGGTGATTTGAATAAATTGTTGTAAAGTGATGTTTCTGTGGTAGTGAATATTTGTGATAGGCCATGGTATTCTGCCATTTGTGTTACAAGTTTGTGAAGATTAGGGACGTCTAGTTCTGTTGCTAGACGGATTCTGGCTGAAATTTGGTGGTTGAATAAGGTTGTGTGTTCTTCTTTGTGTTGAAATGAGTTGATGAGACTACTTGTTGAGTATTCCATGAAGAATGAATATGATGATCTTGTTGTTGTTGTTGTTGTTGGTGTTTAATTCTAAAAGATGAGCCAAAAGTTGGTTTGTGATGATAATAGTGGCTAGTTAGAAAGGGTATTTATAGGTGCAAGTACTCTTTTATTACTTACATAAGATAATTTCATTTGTCTTCTTATGATAATGTATTGTTCTTCCGTGACATACTTTACTAAAAGTAATGTATATTCAAGAATTTTTCTATTTTAGTGACGATCTATAATAACAACTCAGTGTAATTTCACAAGAAAAATTTGAAAAATTAATGTGTATGAAGACCTTTTACCCCTACCTTGAAGAGATACAAAAGTTATTTCTGATAACCTTTAATTTGATTCAAGTAAAAGTGTTACAAAACAGGAAAAAAAAATGAAAGTAAAGAAGTCTA